AGTACACACACACACACAGTACACACACAGTACACACACAGTACACACACACAGAGTCACAGAGAGAGTACACACACAGTACACACACACAGTACAACACTACACACACAGTACACACACAGAGTACACACACAGTGCACACACACAGAGTACACACACAGTACACACACACAGTACACACACACACAGTACACACAGTACACAAACACTAGCAATCTAAAGCAACGCAGTAAATTCAAAGAAGCAATGTTCTAAAGCCAACAGCCGGTCAACTTTAATCTTCGCCAGACACTTCACCACGGCCAATGCGCCAATATAAATTCCGCAACATTTAATGCTGCCTTGTGAAATACAAACACAACTCAATTAAATTGTCATGTCCATGCTCATTTCAGATTAAGACCGGTCGCACAAAAGCACCCATTTCAGGAGACAATTTCAAGTCCGACTTAACAGACATGTTTTACTCTCATCCATTAGACTAAAGTAAAAAACTTTCTTTAAAATTATAAACGTCTAAAGTGTTCAACCAAACGCGGTGTGTACCTTGTGTACACACCATAAACATTGCAAGAATCGCGTATCAATTAACAAAACCCACGTGCAGACTTTTTGGTTCTTCCGGTAAAGTCACGTAGAAGGGAAATAATAAAACATCATAAATTACAATTCTCACCACGTTTCGGCCACAACGCAAGCAGCCGTCCTCAGGTGAAGAACAGGTCTGTCGGAAAGACAGCGTCTGAATGAAACACCACCAGGTTTGGCAGCGTATATTGCTGCCAAGCTTGGTGGTGTTCATTCAGACGCTGTCTTTCCGACAGACCTGTTCTTCACCTGAGGACGGCTGCTTGCCTTGTGCAGGGTCGCAAACGGTACCCGTACCCGGCCGGGTACCCGGGTATCGGGTAGGGTACGGGTATCGGGTACCCGGTTGCGACCTCTGGTGCAGACCCACTCCTGCCACTTCGCAGATAAAGGGACGGGCTTGGCTAGTCGATACAAAATGCGACAAACACCAAAGACTCTTCAACGTGAACAGGGCAACTTATTAAGAAGTTTCCTCGCTGGAATGGACTGGTCTTTCGACTGATATCTTCACTTAAAAGCTTTCGTGACTGCAGGGATTCATCTTCTTGGTTCTTTCGGTAAAGTCACGTAGAATGAAAATAATAAAATATAAAAATAAAACAATAAAATCATTCTCACGACGTTTAGGCCACAACGCAAGCAGCCGTCCTCAGGTGAAGACCAGGTCTGTCGGAAGACAGCGTCTGAATGCCTTCTCGACAGACCTGGTCTTCACCTGAGGACGGCTGCTTGCGTTGTGGCCGAAACGTCGTGAGAATTATTTTATTATGTTTTATTTTTATAATTTTATTATTTACGTTCTACGTGACTTTACCGAAAGAACCAAGAAGATGATATCTTCACGTGCAAAAACACTTCCTCGGACCCATTCCAGAATAGTTTTTAATTGTAAACAGTTTTATACAACCGCCAAATCGTTCCCCTCTGATCCTCAACCTGGGAATCAAGTTGAGTGCTGGGGTTTTGCTGCCTGGGTATCACGTAACACTCCATGTCGGCAATTCAGTTGCATCCTCCACACATTTTGAACCGCTTCTAATGAACGCACGCCCAGCGGCAACTGTTGCATTCATCAAAGGTAACTTTAAACCTAATGTCAAAATAGTTAACGTCAACAAACAAACGAAAACCATCGAACGAGGAGGGACACCAGTTCAATCCCTGGTTGGGGGCCGACCCACCTCCTCATCGTGTCTACAACACCTCCACGTACGAGGCCCGAACGCAAACAGACGGAAACCTCCTCTCAGAGTTCCACGTGGAGACCTGGCGACACTTGGAGGCATTTTGACACCAGCCACCAGCCCACACGGTGCCATGCTGAGACGCTTGTAGCAAGCCGCACACCTACACCCCCTCCCTCCCTCCCTGCCTCCCCTTCCTCCCTCCTCTCCTCCCACCACTCCCTTCCACCTTCCCTCCCTTCCTCCCTCCCCCCTCCCTCCCACCCCTCTCTACCTCCCCTCCCTCCCTTCACCCCTCCCTCCCCTCCCTCCCTCACCCACTGCTCGTCCCTCCTGATCCCCTCCCCCTCCGAACTGATGATTTGGGGTCCATCTCAGCGTAGTGATCGCAGTCGATCAAACCACTCAGCCCCCTCCTCCCCTCTCTCCCTCCCCCTGCGCCCCTCCCTCCCCCTCCCTCCTCCTCTCTCCACCCCCCCCCGCTCTTCCCCGCCCTCCCTCCACCATCCCCCTCCCCCGCCCCACCCACCCCCCCCCGCCCTCCCTCCCCCTCTCTCCACCCCCCCCCCGCCTCCCTCCCCCTCCCCCCGCCGTGCCCCCCCGCCCCCGCCGGGTTCAAGGGAGCGTTGGCCCCCCTCTCGAGCTCCCGCCACTCCCGCCGCTCCCGCCGCCTCCCGAGGGAGCGGTGCAACGCGAAATACTCGCGCTCCCACGCCTCCCTGGCCTCCCGCGCCTGCTCCCTCTGCCTCTCCCTCCTGGACTCCCTCTCCCTCCTCGACTCCCAGTCGCCTCCGCTGAGACGCCCGCCCTGTCTGTCCGGCTGCTGCCGCTGCTGCTGCTGCTGCTGCTGCGCTGCTGCTGCTGCTGTGGCTGCTGCTGCTGCTGCTGTCGCTGCTGCTGCTGCGGCGGCTGCTGCTGCTGCGGCGGGTGCTGCTGCTGCTCCTGCCCCCTGAGCCCGGCCCAGATGTCCGAGATTCTCCTCTGCATGGCCGGCGGTTGTCGCCGGTGGGATTCTCGCTCGGTCCTCCTGTGACGTCACAGCAAGCGCCACAGTCGTCGTCGTCACCTCTGTGTGGGTCTCTGTGAGTCTCTATGAGTGTGGGTCTCTGTGGGTCTCTGTGGGTCTCTGTGGGTGTGGGTCTCTGTGGGTCTCTGTGGGTCTCTATGAGTGTGGGTCTCTGTGGGTCTCTGTGGGTCTCTGTGAGTGTGGGTCTCTGTGAGTGTGGGTCTCTGTGGGTCTCTGTGGGTGTGGGTCTCTGTGGGTCTCTATGAGTATGGGTCTCTGTGGGTCTCTGTGAGTGTGGGTCTCTATGCGTGTGGGTCTCTGTGGGTCTCTGTGAGTGTGGGTCTCTATGCGTGTGGGTCTCTGTGAGTGTGTGTCTCTGTGAGTGTGGGTCTCTGTGGGTGTGGGTCTCTGTGGGTCTCTGTGAGTGTGTGTCTCTGTGAGTGTGGGTCTCTATGAGTATGAGTCTCTGTGGGTCTCCATGAATATAGGTCTCTGTGGGTCTCTATGAGTATGGGTCTCTATGAGTATGGGTCTCTGTGTGTCTTTGTGGGTCTCTATGAGTGTGGGTATCTGTGGGTCTCTATGAGTATGGGTCTCTGTGGGTCTCTATGAGTATGGGTCTCTATGAGTATGGGTCTCTGTGTGTCTTTGTGGGTCTCTATGAGTGTGGGTCTCTGTGGATCTCTATGAGTATGGATCTCTGTGGGTCTCTATGAGTATGGATCTCTGTGGGTCTCTATGATTGAGGGTCTCTATGAGTGTGGGTGTGGGTCTCTATGAGTATGGATTGTGGGTCTCTATGAGTGTGGGTCGGTATCTCTGGATCGGGCTATGAGTGGGTATCTGTGGGTCTCTTGGTGGGTCTCTGTGGTCGTATGAGTGTGGGTCTCTATGAGTATGGGTCTCTGTGACCTATCTCTCTCCCCACTGCTACCGTTATCGTATTCTCTTACTCCTGCTCTCCGCTATTCCGGGCACCATCACTCCAGCTCCCCATCGCTCCAGCTTCCACCAAGACTCCGTCTCTCTGTTACGCTATACAGTGATACCTCGGTTCACGAACTTAATTCGTGAACTGACTCTGGTCGCGAACCGAATTGGTCGTGAACCGAGGCACATTTTCCCACAGGGTTCAATGTAAATCCGGTTAATCCGTTCTGACCTTTTTATTTGGTTTTTGAAGCACAAAAATATTAAACAAATTACAATACACATTAGTACTGTACAGTATAGTAATGTATAAAGAGAGAACACTAACCTTGCTTGAGATGACTTCAGTAAGCACTCAAACGGGTGAACTGTACATTACAGTAAGTACAGTATTGTACAGTACAGTAGTACAGTACTGTATGTGCTAAAAAGCACACCAAAAAGCAAAAAGTCACTGAAAGTGTCTTCACAGTACTCACAGTACTTCTTTCTGTGTCTCTTCTTCTCTCCACGATCTTCCTACAGGAAGTCACGACCACGTGACAGCCTGGAAATAGCATTAAAATGGCCGCGGCTCCTGTTCGTGAACTGGAGCATATTTTTATGAACTTTTCTGTTCGTAAACCGAGTTGTTCGTGAACAGAAGCGTTCGTGAACCGAGGTATCACTGTATTTTTAGATCCACCCCAATCAGTCCCTATTCATTATCTCACCCCCCGATTACCCATCACCCCCCAGGCCCCCAACCCCACGTGACTTTGTTATTGCCGCCTGGGCGACGCCACTCGTTAAGCAATCACCCTCTCGGCCAATCACCGGCCTGTGTCCCCGGTTGCCCATAACAGCTGTCACGTCACTTAACGGGTCTCCTCTCAGCAACAACAACATCGTCCTCAAATACCCGCTACTGTACACTTGCTTGTCTGCCTAGCAACAGACCCACAGAGCGCGTGGCGCGTGTATTTCAGGTCCTACATCTCTATAAAAATTGTGTGTGTATATATAACAGTACTGTTTGTGTGTATAAACTGTATATTACATATCTCTCTATGTGCGTGTCTCTCTCTGCCTCTCTCTGTCTCTCTGTGTCTCTCTCTGTGTCTCTCTGTCTCTCTCTGTCTCTCTGTGTCTCTCTGTGTGTGTGTCTCTCTGTGTCTCTCTCTGTGTCTCTCTCTCTCTCTGTGTCTGTCTCTCTCTGTGTGTGTCTCTCTCTGTGTCTCTCTGTGTCTCTCTGTGTGTCTGTCTCTCTCTGTGTGTCTGTCTCTCTCTGTCTCTCTGTGTCTCTCTCTGTACTTGCTCCGGCAGTACATATACTAAAATTGGAACGATACAGAGAAGATTAGCATGGCCCCTGCGCAAGGATGACACGCAAATTCTGTCTCTCTCTGTCTCTCTCTGCGTCTCTCTGTCTCTCTGTGTGTCTCTCTCTGTGTCTCTCTGTGTGTGTCTCTCTCTCTGTGTCTCTCTGTGTCTGTCTCTCTCTGTGTCTCTCTGTGCCTGTCTCTGTGTGTGTGTGTCTCTCTGTGTGTGTCTCTCTCCGTCTCTCTGTGTGTGTCTCTCTCCGTGTCTCTCTCCGTGTCTCTCACTCGGAGGCGACGACGAGAAGAACGGTGACGACGACCACGAGGTGGTGACGACGACGACGGCGGCTTGTGATCAGCACGAGGGAGATCATCCCACTGACAGCCACGAGTCACGAGGTCTCCCACGTGGGGGAGGGCGGGCTCCTGGCCTCAGGCCACCCTCTTTCTAGAAGACACGAAGACCCCTCTTCTAGAAGACACGCCCTCTTTCTAGAAGACACGCCCTCTTCTAGAAGACACGCCCTCTTTCTAGAAGCCACTCTTTCTAGAAGCCACGCCTCTTTCTAGAAGACACGCCCTCTTTCTAGAAGCCCTCCCTCTTTCTAGAAGCCACGCCCTCTTCTAGAAGCCACGCCCTCTTTCTAGAAGACACGCCCTTCTTTCTAGAAGACACGCCCTCTTTCTAGAAGCACGCCTCTTTCTAGAAGGCACGCCCTCTTTCTAGAAGACACGCCCTCTTTCTAGAAGACACGCCCTCTTTCTAGAAGACACGCCCTCTTTCTAGAAGCCCCCCCTCTTTCTAGAAGACACGCCCTTCTAAGACCGCCCTCTTTCTAGAAGACACGCCCCTCTTTCTAGAAGCACGCCCTCTTTCTAGAAGACACGCCCTCTTTCTAGAAGACACGCCCTCTTTCTAGAAGACCAACGCCCTCTTTCTAGAAGACACGCCCTCTTTCTAGAAGACACCTCTTCTAGAAGACACGCCCTCTTTCTAGAAGCCACGCCCTCTTTCTAGAAGACACGCCCTCTTTCTAGAAGACACGCCCTCTTTCTAGAAGACACGCCCTCTTTCTAGAAGACACGCCCTCTTTCTAGAAGGCACGCCCTCTTTCTAGAAGCCCCCTCTTTCTAGAAGACACGCCCTCTTTCTAGAAGACACGCCCTCTTTCTAGAAGCCCCCTCTTTCTAGAAGACACGCCCTCTTTCTAGAAGCCGCCCCCTCTTTCTACACGCCCTCTTTCTAGAAGCCCCTCCCTCTTTCTAGAAGACACCCCTCTTTCTAGAAGCCCTCTTTCTAGAAGACACGCCCTCTTTCTAGAAGACACGCCCTCTTTCTAGAAGACACGCCCTCTTTCTAGAAGACACGCCCTCTTTCCTCTTTCTAGAAGACCCTCTTTCTAGAAGACAAGCCCTCTTTCTAGAAGACACGCCCTCTTTCTAGAAGACTCGCCCTCTTTCTAGAAGCTCCTCCCTCTTTCTAGAAGACACGAACGCCCTTCCCGATGGGGCTATGATAATGTTTATGGTTGTGTTTATTTCTTAGGGAAGTCACAACACAGGCAGTCCTCTACTTACGACGGAGATGCGTTTGGACGACCCCGTCGTAAGCCGAAAATACCGTAAGTCGAAGATGGCCTATAGCCTACCCAGGAGTCTTAAAGGACGGTGATAATTTAGCAAAACAAAGCAATTTACAGTAGCGTACTGTATAAACTATATACGTGTGTATTTATTAATTGCAATACTGTATTGCACAGTGAAATGTAAAGTAAAAAACAAGGAAAATTCTTAGCCTACCTATATGAACTGCAATTTAATAGAAAGTTTTAGCAGGAAACAATCCTATCTGCTACAGAAACTTTTAACATGCATTGAACGTATCGTATCGTGGTAACCCTAAAATTAAATCGCTAAAGCTACGTATCATAGTGTAGTGTATAGTGTAATGTATAGTGTAGTGTATAGTGTAGTGTAATGTATAATGAAGTGAGTAGTGTAGTGTAGTGTAGTGTATAGTAGTGTATAGTGTAGTGCATTATGTAGTGTATAGTGTAGTGTATAATGTAGTGTATAGTGTAGTGTAATAATGTAGTGTATAGTGTAGTGTAATAGTGTAGTGTATAGTGTAGTGTATAGTTGTTTATGTAGTGTATAGTGTAGTGTATAGTGTAGTTAATATAGTGTAGTGTATACATGCATTGAACGTATCGTAACGTATCATATTGTCCTGTGTACTCACCAAGATTCTGTCCGTCGTCTGCACACGTGAACGATGTTAGGTTGTTGATGGCAATTTTGTCGAATCGCCATCGTAAGATCGAAATGTCGTAAGTCTGACCCCATCGTAACTCGGGGTCTACCTGTACATGTATCCATGTCGTTGGGGTTTTATTTTCGCCGTACGTAGCCAACCGTCATCATTATTATCAGAGGCGCGAGATGAGTTCTCAAGGTTACGGGGGGGGGGGGGGGCTTCATATTTTCCGAGGGTTCTGTGTTGGGAAGTTTGGATAATGAAGTTGTAAAATAGAATACGGCACAAGTGCAGACAAATAATATGCTTCGTTCACATGTATGTGATTTGTATTGGAACAGAAGCCACTGGCAAGTCACGGCAATACGAGGAACACAGCAGAGGGCAGTGCAGCCAAACACATTGTAATGTGCTCCAGACGCAGTAGTAGCACTAGTGTAGAGGTATTACGTAGAGGGGTGTAGCGAGCCGTTACGTTGGGGTGTCTACATCAACGTCCGTGCGTGGGGTGTCTACATCAACGTCCGCATACAGCCCCGCCCCTCGGGGGGGGGGGGCAGTTGGGTATATAAGGCGGTGCGCGAGAGAGCTTGGGGAGTCGTTGGAGCAGAAGAGCCGGTGAAGAGTGAAGAGCAGCGAGCTCACCACTCACTCACTCAGTCACTCACTCAGTCACTCACTCAGTCACTCACTCCAGTGCTCACCACTCACTCACTCAGTCACTCACTCAGTCACTCCAGTCACTCACTCAGTCCACTCAGTTGCTCACTCACTCACTCAGTCGCTCAGTCACTCAGTCGTCAGTCACTCAGTCACTCACTCAGTCGCTCAGTCACTCAGTCACTCACTCGCTCAGTCGCTCAGTCACTCCACTCACTCAGTCGCTCAGTCACTCAGTTGCTCACCACTCACTCACTTACTCAGTCACTCACTCCACTCACTCAGTCAGTCACTCACTCAGTCGCTCACCACTCACTCACTCCAGTCACTCACCACTCACTCACTCAGTCACTCACTCAGTCGCTCAGTCACCCAGTCACTCACTCACTCAGTCGCGTCACTCACTTACTCACCACTCACTCACCATACAGGTTACTCACCACTCACGCACACACTCACCCACTCACCACTCACCACACACTCACCCACCCCACTCACCTACACACTCACCTACACACTCCACTCACTCACCTACTAAGAGTACCAGCTAGCTAGCCTAGCCCTGGGACTACCACCCTGACTCGCTGCTCTTGTAAGAGCCGGGCAGGGCAAGCCAGGGGCGACCTCAGAGCAGCAGCGAGGTCTTCTGTGTCCTTGTGAGGGCCAGACTCGTGTGGCTGAGGGTCGGACCTGAGCCGAAGCTGGGCCAGGTGAGTTAGCCTCCTCTACTAGGATGGTCTGGGTTAGAGGGGTGTAGTAGGAGCTGACGGGGAAACGTTAGCTGAGGGACACTGGCTCGGATAGAACCGGGTGAAGGGGCTGATTCCTCTTCTTCGAGTGTTAGAGTCGTTACTCTGCTGTGTTGGATTTAATTGTAATGAATGCGTGTTGTCAACGTCTCCTGCGCTACTTACGCCATTACACTTGTATGCGTCTATGCTCCCACCCGCACTGACCAGCTTGCTGAGCTGTGGTCAAATCACCGTGACAACCCACACGACGAGTTGTGTGGGGGGGGGCAGGGGGCTCACCCAGCAGTGGATTGATAGAAAGGTCCACCACGCTTGGTTGTTCAACATGGAAAGTCGTGCTGCAGTGAGGCGCAACCAGCGAGATGATCTGGCAACAAAACTGACACCTTGAGTGCATTCATTATCAGAGTTATGTTTTTTGTTTGCATTATGACTGCAGGCATTGTGGTCTATGCAAACATGACTCCTCGTAAAAACGGTGTCAGTTTTGTTGCCAGATAAAAGGGTAACAAAACAATTATCATATTTTTTTTTACTGGCAAATGAGGTACCAATGGTGTAAACCAGCGAGATGTTAACTGCCTTGCCAGGTATACAGGGTACCTACAGGGTACCTGTATACCTGGAGTTTGCGTATCTCTCTCTCTCCCCGCGGTCGTATGGATTGTTCTCCGGCTCCTCCGGGTTTGTCCCCTCCACGTGTAAGAGTCGACATCGCCACGCGCTCAGAGTGTTGGTCTTCTGCTCTAAATGTCCACGCGATGAGCAACTCCGTTGAGCATTATTTGTGGGCAGGTTGCTTCTGAGAAAGAGCGAAATAGCCCAGTTGGTCTCACCTCATCATATAAGAAGATGAATCCCTGCAGTCACGAAAGCTTTAAATCGAAATTGCAAATTTCGTTACTGCAGCTCCATGCTATTAACATTCCTTCCCTTTATTAATGCTAACCCTACTCCCTCCCTTTGATGCTGCTAATCCTGCATAATGCACGGGCATAATATGACTTTGAAACCCCCGCCCACCTCCTACGCATTCCACAAGTAGTGACTAATCCCATATCTGCATTTCCCAAACATATGCTAAATTCCTCTTGATATGCAAATGATTTTGTCAAGGCGCTCTTCCCCCTCCAACCCAGCTTAAATATACGCTGCCAAGCCTGGTGGTGTTCATTCAGACGCTGTCTTTTCGACAGACCTGTTTTCACCTGAGGACGGCTGCTTGCGTTGTGGCCGAACGTCGTGAGAATTATTTTAATGTTTTATATTTATTATTTTATTATTTCCCTTCTACGTGACTTTACCGAAAGAATCAAGAAGAAGACTGTAAAGCAGTCTCATAAAACATTCACGTGCAAACATCAAGGAAGTTTGAAGCAAGCGGTCATCTGGTTTGTAACGGTGTTTTTTTTTATTGGGGAGT